CCCCTCCCGCCCCCCAGCTTGTTGACAGAAGCCCCACAGCTTCCTTAGTCCTTCTCTTCTGTCCAATATACTTATAGAACCCCTTCTCGTTGTCCTTAACCTCCTTTGCGAGGTGCAGCTAGTTTTTTATCTTTGCCTTCCTGACGTTGTCCCTGCAGGTTCTTGCTGTTTTCTGATGTGCTTCCTTGGTGACTTGCCCATTCTTCCATTTCCTGTATGCTTTCCTTTTGCATTTGAGGTATTTTAGAAGTTCCTTATGCAGCCATGTTGGTCTCTTGCCATTCTTCTTGTGATTCCATCATGACAATTTCTCATTGGACTTCCAATACCGTTCTCTTTAGAAACTCCCCACCCTCCTGGGAACATCTATCCTTCAGTCTATAATCCCATGACACCCTGCCTATTAACTCCTTAAGTCAGATTAAATCCACCTTTTTGAAATCTAACATCCTAATTTTGCTGACCTTATGCTTTCCCTGTCTTTAGATCTGGAATTCTATCATATCGTGATCGCTTCCTCCAAAGTTAACCCATCACCTTCACATCCTCTACCAGTTCTTTCCTGTTGGTCAGGACACGATCCAACATAAATGCTCCCCTAGTTGCATCCACACATTCTAGAACAGAAAGTTGTTTTCCACACCAGTAAGGAACCAGCTCAAAATGTTTATGTTTGGCTGCATTGTTCTTCCAGCAGATGTTGAGAAAATCGTAATTTTCCATTAGTACCATCTCATAGCTTTTGGATAGATTTGTATCTGCTGGAAGAGTACCTTCCTGATTTGGTGCCCTAAAATAAATACCCACCATTATATCGGAGCCACATCTTTCACCTTTCATCTTCACCCAAATGCATTCTACTTTGCTGTCGTCTTGCTCCTGAACCAGGAAGCAAATGTTTGTGTTTTTGACATACAAAGCAACATCACCACATTTTCTCCCAACCTTGTCTTTCCAAAACAAGTGTAACCTTCGATGTCGACATTCCAGTCATAAGACCTGTTCTACCAGAGCTCTGTGATGCCAGTCAGAGCATAGTTTTTTTTCAAGCTTCAGCTTCCAGCTTATCTTGTTTATTTCCCATACTCCTTGCATTTGTATACATGCATCAGATATATTTTGCAGTTTGACCCACTTGCTTCCCTTTTCCACCACTTGTTGCACTCCTATAGCTCTCTAACCCTTCCCCAGAGTTCAATTGCTTCTTTGAGTCCTTCCCCTCTGGACTGTGTACTTTGTTGCTAGGTTTTCATCACTATCCCTCATGGAACCTAGTTTAAAACCCACCTTATTAGATTAGCCAGATGACACCCAAAGATGCTCTTCCCCATTCTTGTCAAATGAATCTCATCTCTTGACAGCAGTCCTCCTCCCAAGAACATCTGGCCATTGTCAAAGAAGCCAAAGTCTTCATGTAAATCCTATTGTCTCAGCCACATGTTCATTTCCCGAATATGATGATATTTGCCTGGACCCTTGCCTGCCATGGGAAGAATGAATGAGAATGCCACTTGTGCTCCAAACTCCTTAATCCTCCTACCAAGAGTTTCGTAGTCACCTCTGATCTGTTCAGTGTTGTTCCCGGCAGTATCATCGGTGCCTATATACAAGCAGGAAGAGGAAGTGGTCTGAAGTATGGGTGAGTTATGATAGTCTTTCTGTGACATCTTGAATTTGGCTTTAGGCAGGCAGCACACCTCCCAAGCCCCCAGATCTGGATGATAAATTGGTGTTTCTGTCCCCCACCAAAAGGAGTTGCCAAACACCATCACTGTTCTCTTCATGCAAAGGTCCTAGAGCCCCTGGTCTTTGGACTGTGTACTTACTGCTCTGTAAGCAGCTGACTCCTCTGTCTCATGCTGGCAGATGTCTTTTCCTCTGCTTTTCCTAGCAATTCCATCACAGAGTGTTTGAAAACAGTTGCTAAACTCAATCCACTGTTCTTCAATACTGTAAGAAGAAAAAAAGAGGAGGGAGAGAAAGGGGAAAAGACATGCAACAAGAACCTACACAGCAACCCCCCAGGGCCCTTGCGTACCTGTGCGCATGCGCGCGGGCACGCGCGCGCACGCACACACACACACACACACACACACACACAGTCTCCTGCTCTCTGGCCCCCTCTGCAGGCAAAGTTCCTCAGTTTACTGCTCTCAGAGTTCACAGGGGGCTGCCTTTTTTTAAGGCTGCTTATCATAGCTCCACTCCTCAATTAACTAACCCAGCCCCACCCAAAGCAAACCCTGTCACCCAGTTACTCCAAAGGGGCAGGAGGAGGGGAGAAGAAAAGGGGAGAGAGAGAAAAGGAAAAAAAAATCCAGCACACACCACAGGGTGAAAAGTGGGGAAGAAAATCCCAAACACACACCCCAGACACTATGCAAACACTCTAACAGCAATCAGCCACCCTAAGTCACTAA